ATATGAAATCCAGTTTCTCTCAAAAATAAACGTGAACACTTTAAATGTTGACCTGTGGACCTTTAAATCCATGCTGCCCAGGAACACCATTGGAACCAGGGGATCCTTTTCTTCCCTGTATCAAGAAACACAACAACAACATCAAAGTTCAACAAGATGAGATGACAGACATTTGTGATCAGATCATTTATTTATTCAAACTTTATAATGTATCACTATTAATGTTAAATTTTCCTTATATATTTATATACCTTTTCCTGTTGCATACATTTACAATTTTGGCAACATATGATTTCTTTTACAAAGCAACCTAAACTATTGCCGTCATAACAGCGCAGCATGCCTATAAATTATTTCAAAAAATGCAATACATTGTTCAGACGTACCTGTGGGCCATGTTGTCCTTTTTGACCTTGCCATCCCTGAAATAACGTAATTAAAAACAGTTACTATCTACCAAACCTCATGTTAATAGGTCCTCCTGCTTATTTGAAACTAAGATTGAGTGCAATAGGTCTATGTGCAATTAAATCTGAATAAGATAGCATCCTCAAAGTCCTTCCTTATAATTTCACAAACAAATACCCTGATCTAACACACTGCATATCATATCTAATACAGTCTCCAGTGCATCTCCACCACCAGACCTCTGGACACTTCTAATACCCTGAAGTCACATCCAGTTTTTAAAAATGGCTCTTTCAAACAGGTTGGGAGGAGCTTTTTAATAACAAATTTTGACCCTGAAGACTTGTAAGGGCATGTCTGGCCATTTTGTTGTCAATTTGGTTTTGATATTTGGTGTATGTGTGTGACAGGGCTTTGAAAAATCGATGGATATAGTCAAAATGGCACCCAAAGCCTCCAAAGGTGTACATCCTCATATAAAGCAACAAAATGATGCCTGTGTCACAATTTTAGTGGTTATTTAATGATAGAGCTGCTTTTGCCCAACAGTTTCATCCATTCCCGATGAGGTTGGACCATGGTGGCTCACACCTTAGTTAGACCTAGCCTGCATGATTGCAAAGCATTCTACATGGCACTTTTGAAGAGCCTTCAGAACACTTGGCAAGGAAATGCCAGGGAAGGAATATAAGTTAGTCAAAGGCCGAAATCCTGTTCCATATATCATTGCGCATTAGAATGATGACATCATAATCAGCAGCAATTTTTTAGAACTCAAAAAATTAATTTCCCCCTCAGAGGTCTCAAGGCTCCCATGGAATCCCCTTCATTATGGGGAAGCTTTTGGAGGCCGTGGGACAGGGCAAGTCTTTAAGTTACAAAAATCACTGGCAAAAGTAAAGTCATCCTGGTGGATATGATTTTTAGAAATCAAAGATTTTCCCCTTCTGTTTTGCAGTCCCCAGCAGCTTCCAGACAATAAAGGGGGGTCCATGTGAGCCTCATAACTTTTCAGAGGAGCAATCAGAAATTTTATATTTTAAAACAACCTGCAGTCTTTCTTCATGTAGCTGTGCAAACAGATTTTAAATGGCATGGACCAAAAGACAAATGGTTAGTGTTTCCTAAGGAAAATAGCTCATGCTACTGTAATTTGAACATTTCGAAACACATTTTTATTAGTGGAAAAGAAGGTGTGGAATGATGCTTTCCCCCCGTGCCTACTGCTGGGAGTAGACCCAGGGAGGATGGGCTCACACAGCTGTTCTTTGCCATTGATTTCCACCCTTAAGTTCCTTTGGAGAGAAATGCAATGGTGGAATTCTCTTTCTTTAGCTCTTACTCTGCTTCCTTCGGAGCCTGGAAATCCTGAAGGGCCGGTTGGTCCTCTCTCGCCCTGGAAAGAAAACACTAATGTTAATTTGACTTCTGACCTACTGGTGCTTCCAATCTCCACATTCTCAGTCTGCCATCCCATGATTAGCCAAATAGGAAACTAAAAGAATTGGTACATTATTTAGGTGACACACTACTCTTAATTTACAATAATTAAAATCAGAAGCTTTCAGTATCATGCAACCCTGATACAGATTGCTAGCACATCTTAGAAAACAAGCTGAGTTATACTAACTCTCCTTCAGTCTCTTATGGACAAGCCAGAATCAGGTAAATGTACAAGGGAAACTATCTCATCAAAGAGACCCTTGGTTTCCTGCACACCAAATACAGTTACTTGGACATTAGGTTCCACAGACATCATTTGAACCTAACCCTAACATAAGATATATTTAGTGTACACTCCTATATCCACACATGTCAGAGTAAACCCCACTGAATTAAATGATATTTATTTTTGAGGAGACATGCAAGGATGTTCTCATGAATTTTGGGGAAGGACAAAAGCATGACAGTTTGTGAGCACAATACACATGGAGAGTGCATGCTGTTAAAACACACTGGTACCTTTTCCTTGTGTGTGCACACGTTTAATGACATTAATTCTACTACATTTTCATGAAATAATTAATAAAGAAACATTGTATGTAAAATAGCAGTTACCTCTCTCCCTCTTTCTCCTCCTAAACCTCTTGGTCCTGCTAAGTTATTATCTGCTCCAGGGATACCCTAGATACAAAGGTATGGATGTTAATCATACATTATTGTCTAATTAAGACCTTTTTCAGTAGTAAAGGATCACAGACAAATGCTATGTACAAAGGCAGATAAATGCAGCCCCTTTAAAAGAACACTCCCATATCTGCTGAGTCACTCATGTAGAATTAGCCCTACCAGATATCTGCTCCTTGAATGAAAGTATTCCCACCCCTGAAAACAATTAATCCATAAAATCCAAATGAACCAGAGGCACAGTTACATTCAACAAGATACATAAAAATATGAGCAGTTAAAGCAATCTGGGTAAATGCTAACTATGACAGCATACAGATTCTATGCAGATATACTGATGTAAACATATACAGTCTGCCTGGCTGCCTGACTAATGGTATTGTCCATTTTGAACATGTCAGAGTTTAATTTGTCAGGCTAGTTTTCTGGCAGCAATGCAGCAACAGGAAGATCTTAATGAAATACACCCGCATCATGCCTGCATGGATTTTTAAAAACTATTAGGATGCCATCATATTAGAGCTCCCACTGCTTGCCATCTTTCAGTAATTTGAGTAGACAATATGGGAAAAGCACACAATTCAGATAAATCTGTAACTAGAAGGAGTGCTCCTTCGAGTGGCAGAAAAGGTGGAATTCTTAAAACACATAATAAGGGTAAGTGTGCATATCATCTAATTTTCCCTAGAATGTAAACAATGGTTTATTTTGCATGTCTAGTTTTGGTATCACACATGATAAGGAAGATTACACTGATGGGGAGCAAATATAAGAACATGAAATGTGACATTGTCTGACTGCTTGTTACAGCCCAGAGCAAGAGCAGGATTCAAAACCCAGGGCAATTCACACAATGTTTCCTCCTTGCTTAGTTCTGGAAGAACTTACACGATCTCCCCGAAAACCTTTCTCACCACGTTCACCAATAACTCCCTTAGGTCCTGGGCTGCCCTTTAAAGAATAAAAAGTGAATGAGAATTGGAATACAGCAAGAACATAATTTCTGACATAATTTTACATGACTGCTTGAACAACAGCAAAATCCAAATTAGCTCAGTTTCTTTCTTATGTTTCTAATGTAGGCCTAGTGAAGAGATACTTTTTTATGGTTACAATATCAGAGGCAACTGAGAATTAAAGTCTGCATTACAGATAAATCATTAGAACAACAAATTCTCATAACATTTGAAAGTACATGATTGTCAAAGTAGGAGTTTTTCTCATCGTCCACAGTTTCTAGATGGATTTGCTTTGTTTTGTGAGTGGTCTCTGGGAGACAGGAAAGACTCAGTGGCAGGTCTGATTTCTCAGATGATAGGTATGTTTGAATCATATGTCTGGGACACTGAAGTGATGTCCTCTCTGCCAATAGTTTATCCGTTACGTATAATTTGGCCACAACCTCAAAAGAAGGTTGAGCTTTTCCCTTTATCACTACCCAGTGTTTAAGGGAACTTGATTTTATTTTCCAAGATTTTGTATCTTGGATGTTCTTTATGTGAACTGCTCGTTTACAATTTTGATTTAATAGCTACAGCTGTTACGGCATCCATTTTATTTGTACATTTATTCTTACGGTAGACGCTTCTTTGAAGGAAGTGGTATCATTCTGTCCATATACAATGTTCTGACTGTGAGTACTGTTGTTCACATAGGCAAACTGTTACCATCCATAAACTATTTATTTATTTATTTATTTATTTGTTTATTTGTTTATTTGTTTGTTTGATTGATTTATATCCCACCCATCTGGTCCATACAACCACTCTAGGCGGCTACTATGCCATCTCTCTTCTCAGTGATGTAGGGAATCTGGTCAACTAGAAGGGACTGTTAGTAGGCATGGGTTTGCTCCAAGATTTGCAGAAGTACAAGTACCCTACGGAAGGGGAAATCCCACTATTACTATGGGGAATCTTTAAAATTTCCCACTAAGAAGTAAGCATGCTTACTGGCCATTCAGTTTTGACTGACAGAACATAACAGAAAGGAGAGAAGATTTGGAACAGAGTCAAGGGGCTACAATCCAAAACAGCAACATTCTACACTGCAACATTTTGTTGCGGTCTCCTTTGTTAAAACCCACAATGAATAAATAAAATTACCTGATAGCCTGCATCACCATTTTCTCCTTTCATTCCTGGATGTCCAGGAGGGCCCTTAAATACAAAGAAATTAAAAATATAGTGTATGCATTTGAAATATTTTCAGTTATTAATAGTTTCCGAAAATTGGGGGAGAAGGGGTTATCTTACTGGTTCTCCATTAATGCCATCCGTTCCTTCCTCCCCTTTGTTTCCCTGTAAGAAAGAGAAAAACTAAGAATTATCCACCAAATTTATTGCAATATTTTAAAAAAACACGTTGCTGGAGGTGTTTCTTGATAAGAAACAGATAAAACTAGAAAACTTTCCCAGGCTGGAAAGCATCCAGTCAGCTACTGGGGAAGAGCAAAGGACAAGTACAAATAGTATGGTTGTTTATGTTGTAACTAAATTAAAGCCAAAAGGACATCTAGTGGTTGATATGTACAGAGGTGGAAGGAAAGTCTGATGCTGCAGAACACACACAATTGGAACACGGAACATGAGAAGTGTGAATCAAAGTAAACTGGAAACCATAATGCAAGAAATGGAACACATAAACATTGCTTGGTGTCAGTGAACTAAAGTAGACTGGAATGGGACATTTTCAGTCAGACAACTACAAAGTGTTTTACTCTGGAAATGACAAACTCAGGAGAAATGGAGCAACTCTAAAACCGAGGCAAAATGTAGCACAGGCAATTAGGGCCTGTAATGTAAAGTCTGGCTGAATAATATCCATCAGACTTCTGGGTAAAATCTATCAATGTAATGATCTTTCAGGTCTATGCTCCAACTAGAGATGCTGAAGAAGATGAAATTGAAAGCTTTTATGCAAGCATTCAGGAGGAAATTGATAACACACCAAATAGGACATGTTCATAATCATAAGTGACTGGGACAACAAAGGCAGGAAACAAAGCAGAACCAAGTGTGGTTGGATACTATGGTCTAGCGGTCAGAAATTAAGCTGGACAACGTCTTGTAAAGTTTGGTGAAGCCAACAATCTGTTTATTGCAAGCAGGTGAATAAATGACTGTACACATGGACATCACCAGATAGCCAATAAAGAAATTAAAAAGACTACATACTTGAACCAGGAGATAGAGAAGCTGTAAAGCTGCCAAAACAAGACCATGAACTGTTAATATCCAACTTTAGAGTAAAGCTGAAGAAGAGCATTAAAAAAATCCTACTACCAAAATATAATTTAAACAACATTCCTGATTAATTTAAAGTGCACATAAAGAACAGATTTGCATTACTAAACTCTGTTGACCATGGACCAGGAGAACTGTGGACTGAAACTAGATAAATCATTAAGGAAGAATGCAAAAAGATTATTTCTGTGGTAAAAAGAAAAGAAAACACTATACTGTATGGTTGATGGAAGAAACTCTTAAAATTTCTAGAGACAGGTGAGAAGCAAAAGTAAAAAGTGGCAAAAATAAAGTCAGAATTCTGAATGCAGCTTTTCAGGAAGTCTTACATAGAGACGAAGATAAGCATTATAGTGGCCAGTACAAACAGATAAAAATAAAAGAGGAAAAAGAGATCTCTTCCAGAAGATCCAAGAAATCAAAGGGAAATTTAAGTCTAGATTAGGAATACTGAAACATCAACAGGGAAATACATTATAGACAAGATAAAATAAAGAGAATGTGGAAACAGTACACTGAAGACTTATACAGATGGGGTGGATATGAATGATTCCTTTGAAGAAGAATCCTATGATGAAGAACCTGCAATTCTGGAAAATGAAGTGAAAGCTGCTATGAAAGCACTAGGAAGAAATAAGTCACCAGGGGTAGAATTAAACCAATAGAGCTACTGTATTTCAAGCCACAGAGACTGAATCTGTCAAAATTCTAGCAAAAATATGCTGACAAATATGGAAAATAAAACAATGGCCCACAGACTGGAAATGTTCAATGTACATTCCTGTCCCCAAGAAAAGAGATGCCAAAGCGTTCAGTAACTATAGGACCATTACTCTGATTTTCAAGGCAAGCAAAATGATGCTCAACGTATCGCAACAAAGGCTTTTGCCTCATGTGGAGTGATAAATGTCCAATGTTCAAGTTGAATTTAGAAAAAGAAGCAGCACTCAAAAACATATTGCAAATATCCACAGCTACTGGAGCTCACCAAAGACTTTCAGAACATCAAACTATGCTGTATAGACTACAGTGGTGCCTCGCTAGACGATTGCCTTGCGGGGGGGGGGAACCCGCAAGACAATTGTTGTTTGCGATCACTATGGTGCCTCACAAGATTTTTTTTCTATGACCGTGCTTTGCAAGACATTTTGTTTTGAGACCGATGCTTCACAAGACATTTTTTTAGACCCATGCTTCACTTTTTTTTTTTGAGACCGATGCATAGGGAACCTCAGAAGATGATTTTTTCACAAGACGACGATTTTCGCGGAATGAATTAAAATCATCTTGCGAGGCACCACTGTACATGCAGCAAAGCCTTTGATTGTGTGGATCAAGAGAAGCCATGGATTGCTCTGAAAGAAATGGATGTGCCTCAACAGATGGTTGTACTGATGTGTAACCTGTATTGTAGACAAGAAACTAATGTTAGGACAGAATATTGAGACAGAATAGTTTCCTATAGACAAAGGTGTTAGACAAGTATGCATTTTATCTCCCTATCTGTTCAATCAAAACTGGGTTCAGTTTACAAGGTACTACAGCTTACAGAGGAAGGCAAGAGATGAATACCCAGGATGCACTGGGATATGTTCTGTAATCTAAAACCTTGCAGTAAAGAGAGACTCACACACTTTTCATGAAGATTCATACCTTTCGCCCAATTATTCCTCTCTGCCCCTGAAAAGGATTAGAAAAAAAAGCAAATGTAAATGTAATGTAATGAGCTTTATACACAAGGTGGTGATTTAACATTTTGTCAGGAGCTGGTAACCGATGCTCACCTTGGGACCTCTGTTACCTTGACAGCCCATGTAGCCTTTATCTCCAGTTGGTCCAGGCAACCCTCTTGATCCCTGACAAGAATATAATGGCATGAAAGTGAATGACAATTTTAAAAAGAAGGAAGGATTTGCATACTTCTAAATTTGGAGAGGGCCAGAGATGCTTTCAAATGTTGGCATCAGGCATGGCCAAAACTTTGGCCCACCACCTTTTTTGGTCTTCAGTTCCCAAAAGCTCTAGTTGGGAGTTGGAGTCCGAAACATCTACGTAAAGGCACTGGAATGAACTAACAGTAGTAACTTGTCCTGAGATGTCAACAGTATGTGGACCAAACACAGCTCTTTTGTTTCCATCCACACATCCAAGGGAGGTTGTGGAGTCTTTGAGTTGGTACTTGGAGACATTTTATGAAATTATAGGCCGGGTGACCTTGAGGGATTTCTAGCCCAGTTTTGCAACACTTATTTTTAGATGAAGGCAACAAGTCCCGATTTCAGTTAAGACGAAAAGTCCATAGATTTGGAAAGCGGTTTGCAACTGGGTTGCACTTACTGCAAAGAATCTAGTAAACAGCTTTGGGTTCCTCATGAACCCTCTCTGTGGGACAATATGTAGTGCTAGAGGGCTTCTTATGAAATTGCTTTGTTCTGCAATTCCATCAGGAAAAATTAGGTCTTAATATGTGTAAATATGCAAGGTAGGGTTAAAATAATATGCCACCAAAAATTAGTGGACAGATTTCTTACATGTTATTTTTGGGGAGTGGGGGGGCTCATCTTCCCTTCATTTAGAGAAGGTGGGTGTGTTTGTTTTTGTTCTTTACTCTTTTCATTATTTTAACTCTTAAAACAGTAAGACAAGGTATTTTAGTCACTTTATCTGAACCAAAATAACTAAGTTCCATCCTAGAGAAAAAATCATCCTCTAAAAAGCAAATTAATATAGCTCAGAATAAAAAAATAGCCCCATAACAGTATTTGGGACTTTAGCCTGACACAAGCTACATGAATAGGTTTTAGCAGTTATTTTGCATTCCGTTATGCTATTTGTTAGCCATCTTGTGACAATGGCAGACATTCTGTTGTGCAGGTTCATCTACACAACGCAGAGCTGCAAAAGGGAAAACATGGCAGGGGAAACAATCTTCGTGGAGCGCTTCTGCATGCATGCCACGCAACAGTCATGGTGAGAACTGGGCATAACACTTGGCACACATCTGCAGGTGTAACTTTATGTTGTGCCAGAATGAACAGGATTTCAGGCATTGACGTAGATCTATATAGAGCAGTAATAAAGAATGTGAACTGAAAAATGGCTCACCTTTATCTGTAGGCTACATGTCAACTTACAGAGTCACACAGGTCTTCCCACATGACTCTGCAGGCTATGGAAAAGCCATTGTTCTCTCAGTCTGTTCCACATTTCTGAAGCACAGGGATGATATTAGCCCTATTCAGTTATTACTTGCCTGGTTCTTGGCAGTCCACTTACAGAGTAGAGCCTAGTCCTCTCTATTACTGCTTTCTCCACATGGAGAGTGGTGTATCAGAGGTAAATTCCCTGCTTGTGTGTAAGCTGTCTGTGTGAGTAAGAACTCTGGAAGGCTGGGGTTCATGTTCACATGGGGAGTCCACATACAAGCAGGAATTCTCTCCTCTCCTCTCTCCATATGGAAAAAACAGTACCATAAAGGGGAAGGGCTAGGTGCTTCTCCCTAAGCATGTTGCTGAGAACTGGCAAGTAAGGACTGAATAGGGATAATACTGTATTGACTTAATCATCTAGGAAGGGTGAGTGAGATATGCCCGTGGATCCAAAGAGCCTGTATGCCTGTAGAAGGCATTTCTGTCCCACAGATTTCTATTGATTCTCCCCTCCCTTGCTTGCACTGTATCATATGCCTTTCAGTAGAATCTCCCAACCCACTGGATTGGCTTCCAGGTGGAGGGCAGGCAAGGGCTTGAGGTCGAAGAAGAGGGATGGGGAAGCTAGAATTCTGCCCATGGTACATTCAAGTGAAACCTGTGCATGTGAAATGCTATGAACATTTAAAAAACAGATATCCTCCTTTGCGCATTACTCTTAGGATACCATAGAGAAGGGATGTGATAGAAAAGAAAAACAGTCCTCCCTTCTACCCCACTTTCCCCACAAAAAAGCACATAAGAAACAACAATACATTGATATGATGATGTGTACACTTAATGCAAGTTTTGACTAATTTTGTTTAACTTTTTTTCCCATTTTACAAACTATTCTCAAAGTTCTCCAGCAGTTCAGAAGAAATTCCCTGGTTGGGAAGAGGATGTTTCCAGTTTCACCAACACAAATCCAAAGTCCTTTGTTAATGTGATGCCAAACATTGTTTCTATGCATGTCTCTCCATTTCATTCTCAACATTTCTTTTTTTCCATTTAGTGGAAAAGAAATTGCTTGTCCACCAGAAACATTCAGAGGGATTTTTTTAAAAAAGATCAGTACAATTCTTATGCTTGGATCGTGCGGTTCTCATATGAAGTGGTTGGTGTTCTGCAGCTTTTGTGGATTCTCATGCTTTTAATTAAAACCTAGGAAATATATTTTCTTAAGGCCAAAGAAAATGTTAGAAGCAGCCCATCATTAGAAGCTGAAATCTGTTATATGTTCCAGAATGGTGATCCAATGAGACCTTGATGATCAAGCAATCATTGCAAATAAAGCTTGTGTTTAGATCCAGGAGATGAATCACCCAAAAAGCATGCAAAACCACTTAATATGAAAAATACAGAAGGTGTGAAATATTGTTTTGCTGTGACAATCTAATACTTCACCATTGCCACCTTCTAATAATAGGTCACCTACAATGTATAGTTTGGCCTTAATTGGATTTCTTCTATATCAAAATGTATGGATAACTAAGGAGATTACTGAACAAATCAAAGTATGCTGCTTATGTACCATCCCACAGCGCTTAAAGCACTCTCTGTGCGGTTTACAATTTAATTACGCAGGCTACATTTTGCTCCCTCAGAAAGCTGTGTACTCAGTTTACCAACTTAGGAAGGCTGGAAGTCTGAGTAAATCATGAAGTGCTACCTGAGCTGGTTTGGATCAAACTCAGGTCTTGACTGCAGTATAGTGGTTTGGCCACTGCACCACGGGGCTCCTCAATCAGTGGAGAAATGTTGTAGTTCCAAAAAGTAACTTGCCCCACATTGGCACAGAAACAGTTCCCTGTTCTTCAGATACTGGCTATAGTTTTAAAATACTATTTTTTAAAAGCCAAAAATGTATATCTGTAAATTTGAAGCTTACAGGTTCACCTTCATCTCCCAGGTGTCCTTGACTTCCTTGAATGCCTGGACCACCCTGAAATTAAGATCAAGAAGTCTGTTAGGATCAAATGTTGAGATCACCTTTCAAGACTTAGGTCGTGCTTCCTTGATTAGAATTACTGAAATCTTTACATGGATTTTAATCAGAACTTGTAAATTTTACTTTTCTACCAAATTTTACTTTGGTAGAAGACAAAAGAAAAGGTCTTGGACTATAAATGGGCAATCTCTTGAACAGGTTTCCTGTTTTAAATATCTAGGTATGGCCCTTCAATCCACTGGGGACAGAAAGGCTCATATACAATATGCAGCTACCCAAGGGGAAAAAACAGCAAATGCCATCTTAAGGTTCTGCTATTCCAAAGGGGGTCGATATATTCCAGCAGCCCAAAAACTCTTTCAGGCAAAGGTGGTCAGCCAGATGCTCTACTATGGCAACTTCATAGGGCCTCCATCTAGCTGCTTTGATCCAACAGAGCGGGTTCAAACTAAATTCCTTAGAGCAATTCTTGAAGTTCCAAGATGCGTACCAAATGCACAAATTCGTTTAGTGACAGGCTCACTAACAATGATAGCCAAAATTACACTAGCCTCCCTTCAGTATTGGCTTAAAATAAATTATCAATTACAGGGATTAACCCATCTACTTCTAGAGGACAATTTTCAGTCGAAGTGGTTGAAAGTGGTCCTAAACAAATTGCAAGTTATGAGCTTCACTCCACAAGCAATACTGAGTATGCAATGGGATGAAGTGAAATCAGCCCTTAAACAGAGAATAATGGACATGGAAAGACAGGTAAAACTTAGTAGATGCCCCAACTTTAGAGCGATAGACACACACAAATATTGCTTGCTACTCATGGCCTATTTATCACAGCTTGAGACATATAAGTTTAGGAAAGCCTTTACTTTGGCTAGATGTGAGGCCTTTCCCTCAGCGGTGTTGGAAGGCAGATTTAAGAAGATCCCAAGGGAACAGATACGCTGCCCTTGTGGATCTGGTGAGATAGAATCCATTGAGCATATAATTCTCAGATGTAACAGGCATAACAAGATTTGAGGAAAATATATTACACCTCTCTTAAAATACATGACAAGCCAATGAGACTCGGACTACTGTAACCAATTGTTAATTGATCAAAATAGGATTACTACAGAACTGGTAGTGAAATTTTGGGTGGCATACCATAGTAGCCAGAACAGATAGCCAAACTTAGACATTGGTTTTATACTGTATTGTTATATTTGTAGTTTTATTGCTTTTTGTTTATTTGATTTGGCTTTTTGCAGTATATGTCAGTACTTGAAGCTCTGCATTTAATTTTGTTTTATGTATATGATTTGATGCTGTAACAATAAAGTATGTATGTACTTTTCTAGCTAGACTGCTACAACTTGCATAATTCTAGGAGTCTCCAAAAGAGTAAAGTTCCCAAACTCTAATTAAAACCCATATGCAAGATTTCAATTCCTCATTCCTACCTTCATCCCACGTCTTCCTTGCTCTCCACGGTCTCCTTCTTCACCAGTACATTTACAAAACACACAGCAACATGTCCGTTCGGCAACATTGGTCTTAGAAAAAGAAGAATGTCACAGTGTTAGTCAAGGTCTTGGTAAGTAAAGTTAGATAAGATTTTGTAACTTACTACCTATGGCTATTTCATCAATATGATGCGGTAACAGGAATTTGTGTTAGGTTCTAAAGCATGTACGATTGTCCATGCTCACCCACATTTTGGCCCAGTGAAAGTTGGTTGTGCTATTAACTTCTTCAAATTAGAAGCCCTTTCTAAGACTCTCTTCTTCAAGAATGCTGAGAAAGAATGTAGTTTAACTTGTGGATTTGGTTTTTTTTGGGGGGGGGCGGTCTGTATGTGTTTTTAATTAGAACTTTCTCAGATCCACACATTGGCTGAAATCCAGCAGCAAATTGCAACTGGAGTAGATCCATTGACCCAGTGGATTGTGTGGAGGAGGTGACTCACCTAATCCCTCCTGATCCAATGGGCCTATTCTAGATGTGACATACAACTGGATTTCAGCCCTTTCATAAACTTGAAAGCAATAACTTCAGATAAATAATAATAAAATGATGGTGGTGACATGAGGGAAAGAAGAACTGACAGTTTCATTTATGGAGGCAAGTCTTTGAGTTCTTAGCTCTTAAAAACTGATTTGAATCTGTGTATTCAAACATATTTGTTGTGTTGAGTTAGGGTCGTTGCCTCATTTTTCGAACAGGTTCCTTATATTTAACAACTGCAATGAATACAGGTACAACAAGATGGTTCTCTCTGTGGCGGGAAGAGCTTCACCTTCTCAGTTGGAACTATATAGGTGATTAAGAATTTTGTTCAGTTCATTTTTTAAATCATAAAACTCACAACAATTCACAAATTTCTCCATAAATGTGATGAAAAGAACTTTGAATTAAGGGGTGGGTGAAGCATGTGGGAGAAGTTAAAACTGTTTTTTTTCTAGGATTCACTGTGGGAATTCTTATTTGACAACAAGGGAATTCTCAGCTGATCTGTCTTCCTTTTTTCTCTCCCCTTTCCCATGAACATCATGCAACCTGAGAATTTGCCACCTCACTTCTTAGAACTTGTTCATGAAGTTCTGTCTCCATCTTTGTCATATTAAAATCAAGTTTGTGTGCTTGTGATGATGTGAAAGAAATTTAGTGTAGTGTTAAACATTGCAGAGAGTTTATTGCACCCACTTCAAAAGAAAAGCAAGGTAGGCCCTGAACTTCTGAGAAAAATGATCTGTTTGGTCTTTTCCGTAAAAATGAATAGGTAATAAATTGTAAAGCAGTGGAGAGGGAAAGAATATATGAAGGGTCGTTGTTTACGTTGTTTATCCTTGATCATAGCATTAAGCCTAAGCTGTAGAGGCTAACATGAATTATGTGATTCCCCATAATTACATTGCATGTATGTATTATGAATACCAGAAAATTTGCACATTGTAAATTTCTTGCATGCAGGCAGTTTTGTCTTTGAGGGACCAATTTTCTCCAATAAAAATAAAGCAAATAAAGAAGGCAAGGAAATTATGAGGTGATACACAAGGAAACCTAAAACAAATATCCTCAGATTCTAAGAAATGAGTCTGCTAATATTTTGCCACATCCTTATCCCAGATTGCTATCTACTATTTTGCTATCTAGCATTTTCCATGTAGTCGCCCAGCATTTTCAAATCTGATTTATGCAGTGCCATGCCAGTTTCTCAAATGGAGACAAAGAATGTGCTATAATTAAAGGAAGAAGAAATTAATATGAACTGAAACTATGAACAGGAAGTTGCCAATAAACAATAGAGAGGGTCTTTTCTAAATGGAATATACTTCTGAGCAGACAATATATTCTGTGCTGAACCTTACTTTTAATCCCACCGCCAGCTAATAGTTGAAAATCAAATACCACCAAAGTAGAGGAACTCTAGAAGCAAACATATAACAGTAAAAGTATGTTTGAGCCTTGGTGCTTCAGTGAGTTACTTACCACATACTTGGACAACTGGCTGGCAATATTTCTCATGCCTATAGTCAGCTGTGTCTTGTATCCAAATCCTTTTCCAAATTCAATATACTGGAGCTCATTAAAATTTGAAGCTCCTTCCAGACCGACAGTTATCAGTGCATCCAACCCTGTTAAAAGTACCCATTGTAATTTATTTTGCTTTCTCTAAGTTAAAAAGAACATACTACAAATATGAGGCAAACCAATTATTACCTATACACAAGGACTGCTGTCAAATATTTAGACTCAAATCTCGGAAACTTGGACAGCAGCTAGTCAGAGAAGACTTTGACACTGAGACCACATGGAGCCAGGAGTGGGCAACTTCTAATCCAGATCTGTTTAACTTAGTGTCCAATCCAATACAATGCCATATAGCTTTGATCTCAAGGAAAAACTGGACAGTGCCTAACTGGATCAGAGCTAACCACAGCAGCTGCCAATGTTGGAAACATAAAAGAGGGCTGGCCAATAATCCTAATTATGACTGTGGGTATGTCTCACAAACTTTGCATCACATTGCAATGGAATGCCCCCTTAGAAAGTACCCTGGCTCCCTACAAGAACGACATCATATTGAGGGTACTGCTGCTCAGTGATTAAATGATTTAGATATCCAGTCTTAGGTTTAGTCTATCTAGCAACTGCTCATACATAATTTATTTCACTAATTATTCACTATTCATATTGTGTGTCTTTAGAATCTTGTAGAATTTATTCTTTTAATGTTTTCTATTTTATGCATATTTTATATTGTCTTTGTGAAGTCCTACACAATAATGCTGTATTCTGCTATGCCATACGAAATAAATAAAGTTCAGCCCTGAGACAGGGTGTAATTGCTATGTAGTAAAGAGATAAACTTGTAACACAGACTCCTTATTTCAAATTCCTGAGGAACTGTCTTCAGCCTTTTCCCATATATGCTTTCCAACAACACATCCCACACAAATTCCATGTATCTCCAGAGCTTCACTCATGTGCACGATTCTTCCCTCACTTAGCTTCTCACTTTTCTGACTCCTGAATTCCAAGCAATCTCTTGTTTGTTTCGTACTTGGAATCCTGAGGGTATGAAATCTTTATACTTGTTCATCAAATTCATAATGTACCTCTTTTCCTGAGTTCTTCTGATTTATGTTCCAGGACTTCTACGTTGTCATCCAAGCCATCCGAAAACACAAGTAGTACCTGCAGAAAGTTAATCAAAAGAATAACCCATGGCCTTATTAATGTTATATCATATATCATTGCCTTTGTATGCATAAGGGTGATGTGGGAGCATTACCTTCCTTCGATCTGTAGATTTGATTTGGAATGTTTCCCAAAGTGAATCCAAGAACTCTGCATTGAGGTGAGATGCATTCCTGATGGTGGTGCCCACAAGACTGTTCAAAAGTTTCTCGCTGTCAATTTGAAACTTTGATACCACAGGCGGGTCTGTGTTTCTCACCTTCACTGCCACACTGGTTTGTGAGTGTGATCTGGCATTACAACTGACACCTGTTAAGTATGTGAGGGCATTTATGATCTGAGGAAAATGAGTTTCCAGCTGGTACTGTCCATGGAATACCGGGTCGCCTTGACTTTGTGAGGAGACATCTATTCCCACAACAACATCCATGAAGCATGCTGGTTTTGTGAGGAGGAGAAAACAGTACCAATTACTATATGCAATAGAGAGCGAAACACTGGGAGAAAAAAAAATAAGTCAAAGATAAGAGGTACGGATGGGGATTGAGATAATTACTGGGAATTCCAGCTACAATTATACAAAGATGACTGGGAGACAACTGGTATCCAAAGAGTTTAAACATTGAGGCTATTTGAATGGCTACTAGTAGTCATTATCAAGCATTTGATCAGGCTTTGAAAATGGTTTTTTCGGAGTTATCTAAATGTGTTGCCAAGCTGTTAGTGATAGGTCACACTCCAACTAGAGGTAATGTATCATTTGGATTGACCCATTGCTCCCCACCAGTTGAAACTTTTGCAGATAACTCAATTTGGAGCTTAAACTATCCATCTTTACAATTTAGGGGATAAGGACCAGGTCTATGTATTCTGCAACTGGGTGCAATTCTGACCACATGCCCCATTCTTACAAAAGCCCCAAGGATTTGGGAATATTGAACTACTTCAAAGCTAGAAGTAGGAATACTTACTTGTTGTATCTTCTTCCTCACAAATATCATCAACTAGTCTTTTTTTAATTACCTTCAGTTCACTGAAATTGTCAACTGTGTATTTCCTGTCTGAGGAGCCAGCTATCTGACTAAGCTGCAACTGGTCAATTCTCCCTACTCCTATGGCGTATATGTCAACACCTTTCTTTCTCAGATCTTCTGCCACTTTAGAGACTTTGTCATGTGATCGGCCATCTGTGATCACCAGCAAAATCTGTTGGATGTTTTCATTTATTCTGCTGCCACCTTCTGGTGTAAAGTAGCTCTTCACTCGCTCAAGAGCTGCACCAATGTACGTTTGAAGTCCTTCCATCTGTCTGATTTGTCCAATTTGAGTTTCGAGTTCAGATTTCCGCTGGAAAATATTCAGTCTGAATTCTTCCTGGTACCTATCACTATACTGAGCAATGCCAACTTGTACATTGTGACCAGTGTTGAATGGGCGAATCACATCTTGCAAAAAATTCTTCATCTTAGTAAAGTCACTGTCACTTATACTGTTAGACCCATCAATAAGAAATACTAAATCAGCTGGAATTCCACATTCTGAAAAGGAGAAGAAAAGAAATGTCATGGTTTACAATTGTAACTAACAGCATCTCAAGAAAAGCTGAGGGAAGATGAACAAGAAATTGATGTTGGAGAATAATATTAGAAGCTAGCCCATGAAAATATGGCTTCTGTTTCTCTATAATGTTTGCATTATTTTTCCAAGCACAATTTTCTTCCATCCCATTTTGCATACTTTTTGAATATTTGTTAAAAATCTATACAAATGTTTGTATATATTCCATCTAATATATTAAGTTTACAAACATTTTCCTTAATGTATCTATTTTTGTACACATTTAATCTAGAGTCGGATACAACTGGACTAAGAATGTCAAGGGGAATCTTTACCTTTAATATAAGTATAGTTTCCAAATCCCACAAGGTGCTAGCCCCCTCTATTCAGCACTGGTTAGACCTCACCTTGAGTATTGTGTCCATTTCTGGACACCAAACTTCAATAAGGATGCTAACAAATTGGAACAAGTTCAGAGGAGGGCGACAAGGATGATCAGAGGGCTGGAAACCAAGCCTTATGAGGAAAGGCTGAAAGGTATTGGGCATGTTTAGCCTTGAGAAAAGAAGGCTAAGGGGGGGGGATATGATAGCACTTTTCAAATATTTGAAAGGTTGTCATACAGAGGAGGGGCATGATCTGTTCTCGATCATCCCAGAGTGCAGGATACGCAACAATGGGCTCAAGTTAAAAGAAGCCAGATTTTGGTTGAATATTAGAAAAAAACTCCTAAATGTTAGAGCAGTACGACAGTAGTGGGAGTCGGTGAGTGCTCCAATACTGGAGGCATTCAAGAAAAACTTAGATAATCATCTGCCAGATATGCTTTGATTGTATTCCTGCACTGAGCAGGAAAATGGACTTGATGGCTTTGTAGGCCCCTTCCAACTTCACTTTTCTATTATTCTTTGTTTCTATGGTCAAATCACTACTGATTAAAAGTGTTTCAGGGTGAACACAACTCTTATACAATGTGAAAATTTGAATCAAAGGAAGCCTGGCAATTTCCTGCTGCTACTGACATCATCACTGTAGCGGTCACTCTGTCAACTTCACTTTTCTATTATTCTTTGTTTCTATGGTCAAATCACTACTGATTAAAAGTGATTCAGGGTGAACACAACTCTGACATCATCACTGTAGCGGTCACTCTGTAGCCTCTGCCAACTCAGGCCTCCAGGAGTGCTCACTACTCTTCCTCTTCAACTGCTGTCATCAATTATAATCAATATTCAAAAAGACAAGTATTTCTTCCAAAACAAAACTTGTTTATTGATATAATAAAATAAAACGAGTAAATCACAGATAGATAATCAAGATGTAAATCATGGTTTCTCATTCACTATAGCACACACAGACTTTTCCCTCACTGACTATTTGGCTCACAGGCCTACAAACATGCTAATCACTAACTCTCAATCTCTAAATCTCTCAATCTCTCCATTTATCCCCCTCCAATCTCTTCATCTCCCCTTTTATATTCCAGCTCCTCCCCCTTCTGCACCACCCTCTGTCCCCTCATTGGCTGATGTTCCACTGCCCAGCTGTGACAGACAGGTGAGAGCAGGGCTGAATGTTACAATCACTATTGTGAATACAGAGCTGTGCAACAGGATTGCAGTCAGAAAGACTTTATTTTGATTAAACCTGAATGGAAATTTTGTTAAATTCAGTATTGTAAAACTGCAATCCACTGCGTACCTACACTGGGATAAACATCACCAAACACAGAGAGCTTAAACATGCATACATAGCTCTCTGTGTTCACTGCAGTCTTTCCCAATGTAACTGTGCAGTGGGTTGCAATTTTATGACATTAGGTATAAAGAAATTTCCATCCAGGCCTAGTTAAAATTCTCTCTTTGTTTAATAAATTACCTTTCAAAATTGCACAGTAATATGCAATATCTGCATTTAGGCCATTTTAAAATTCCATTGTAAATGCTGTATCAACAAACTTTGACAACAGAAATTGATGCCATCTGTATATTTTCAGGAAATGTTCTATTGGACTTAAAATAGAATGGCCCTAAAAAAGAGATAGACGGAGGTAAAAAAAGAGAGAGATAGAAACATACCTGGTTTTGAAACACTGCATATCTTATGTGACACATTGGAATGCAGGTGTTTCAGTCCTTCAAATGTATTTACATAGAAATATTTATCTTCTGATCCTGCCATGGTCAAAAGCTCATCTGGCCTTGCTCTCTCTATCCCAATAGCATAGATGACAATGCCGTTCGCCCTGAGTCTCCTTGACACCTCATCAAGTTCTGATGCATCATGGGAGTCCCCATCAGTTATCACTATAAGAACCTGGGGGACACCTTTGTATTTGCGGCTGCCATGTTCCTCAGAGAAAAGGCTTTCTGAGTGGCGCAATGCTTTGGCGGTATACGTTGTTTCTCCAATAGATTTATCATTTTGGATAGCCTTAATGATGGCTGATTTGGACCCATAGTCATTCAGATAGAAAAAGGTTTCTGGCTCAGCTGAATATTTGACAGCTCCAAATTGAACTCGGTCATGGCCAACATCAGATTTTTTTACCAAGGCAATCATGAAGTCTTTCATAATATCATACTCTTTGGGATCTATACTTCCAGAACCATCAATGATGAAAACAATATCTAGAAGTTCTATCCTTCTGCACTCTAGAGTAATAATAAGGAAAAGAACAGTAAGAGTTAGTAACTAATATATGTAATTATACATCTTTATAATAGTAAACCTTTGTTGTCAGCAAAAATTGTGAGTTTATACCACTTTAGGAGGAAATCTGCTTGGAACACATGTCTTTTTAAAAACTTAAAAGTAGCCATGTTCATTTGTTGTAGTAAAAGAGAAACCAGAAGACAAGTAACATCTATATGTAGCAACTGGAAGAGGTGAATGAAACATTTTTCAGACTCAAATACCCATCTGATATATGAAAACAGCAGTTCAACAGGGCTATACAAATGCCTAGAAGTGAGCTTTTACAAGATAAATCCCAAACAAACAATAGGATGCCACTGATGAGGACATATACTTCCCAGCTGAACCCCAAAAGCACATCATCAGAGACCTTCAGCTCGCATTAGTCAACAACAAGTCTCTGACAAGCCTAGATGGGCAATGTATGCTGACATACAGCCTCCAAACCTAAAGAGGTCTTTAACTAGTAAAAAACAGACCCTGACAAGGGAATCTGATCTTGTGCCAGCTCTGTCCTTATATTTATACTGGAAACACCGCCAGAAGACCAAACAACACAATCAACAATATCAGGGGGTTCTCATCCTCCAATGTGATTTATGCCATCTTTTGTCAATAATGCCCCACTGCAGTTTATTTATATGCAGTATTATTTATAGTCATATGTTTTATTGTTGGCAGGGATAACTGCTGGAAGCTTAGAACTGTTGCCATTGGTTTTAAACTGTTATCATTTTTATACTTCCTCCAGAGACACAGCCATTCATCTGAAGAAATGTGCTCAGACACATGGAAGCTTATGAAAAATAAAAACTTGTTAGTTTTATAGATGTTACATTATTTCTGGTTAGTGTTTTAAAACCTTTCAGTATTTTACTTCTGGGATCCTTCCAGATGAGGCTTTTAATCTCTCTGCCTCAAACACAGAATTCCCTTGTCTCAAACAGAATTTTCTCTTTAAGGGAAGGCAGTGTTTTCTATGTGTGACTTCTGGTATTTTTTCATCGCTCCCAACTTTTGTCTTCCTAGAAAGGAAAAACATCATTTGTGGGGAAAAATGTGGAATAAGTGCACAGTGATTGGTGGCACAATGAGTCCTCTCTCCAGGAACACACTAGAATGTGTGATTGTGTGTCTATGAATGTGGGCATTATAAATCTGAGCCCTATGCTGCTTTTCTGGGAGGCACACTGAGATGTCTGCCTCGCATGGCACCTTCTGAGCAGACCTTGGGAAAAATCCCTTTTAGGACTCAAGTTCCAAGATTCTTCCCAGCCTGCATAGTCAGTGGCCATGCAGGCTTGAGGGAATCTGACAGCTGTATTAAAAAAAACTAATTCTGCAGAGCTCTGAATCTCAGTGTTCTTAAAGGGCAGCCATGCAGGTGCTTATTAGTTTGTGTATTCCATGTACTAGATATATTACTCAACAAGAGTTACTCAAAGGTTTGTCATAGCTCCATAAAGCACAAGCTTCCCTGAGGACCTGGAGGTGTTCTCACCTGGAGACTAGACCTACCCATCAAGGACTCAAAGAGATCCAGTCATCAGAGCACATGGCAATATTTGGAGATATGAAGCTGAAGCAAAATCCAGGAACGCACCTGCTACTGCTATTCATTTACCTTGAAAATATTTCTCTAGAAACCCCCAAACTTTCATAAAAGAGTCAATTTGTTAATCTAGCAGTAGGAGCAGATTTACCCGAGTCCTGTTGCAAACTCCTCATATCCTACTCAGACAATGTTTACTGATGCTTACCATTTGCCTCATAAAAAATGAGTTCAGACTATCCTAACATGGGTTCCCAAAAATGATGGATGAACGTGGATACATATTCTTCTCATTGTGATTTTTAACCCAGAAATATGTTGTCCAAATATACTTTTGAAAGAAAATATTAATGAGAGTCAGAGAACCTTTAAAATGGCTTGCAATATATGCAAGATTGCTTTTGAGCTAATGTTTCTCTCAGAGGAGCTACAGTTAAATATTCAATGCATCTCTATGTTTAACAGCTGGGCCTTATCAAGTGGGATCACTGTTTTTAATAATTCCTATTGTGACTTATGGGCAGCTGTATCTTTTTATGTCCTTGGCATTCTCTAACAGAAGGCATGACTTTACAGCATGAGCCATATCTTCCATGCCATGTGTATTAGTTTAACAAGACAGGATTATCTACAACTACATGGGTCTGGAGGCACAAAAGAAAGAGAATAGCCACAAATGCTTTTCTACAGATATTCGTGCAAGAATGTACATATGGATTTATAGAATATTGTGCTAGGGAGACGCTATAATCATCCTCCTGCAATGAACTAGAAAATCTTGCACACAAGAAGAATTTACTTGGTTTTACATGTCTTGTGTAACATTCCAGCTTTAGCATGAACTATAAAACAGCTGCTCTGTAAATGGAAAATTTCTGAATGTGGAAAGTAAGCTTTAGATCCACCATACAGTTCAGTGAGCAAAATGGTTCTAACATTTCCAGAGGTCCTCTGATCAAAATGCTGGTAGCATTTTGTATTATTTAGTGGATAAATGTGCCAATCAAAATGGGTCCTTTAGCAAAAAGTCCACAAACAGATTACATTTAGATGTAGGTTAAAAGAGGTATGGTTGGGGCATTTAACTGAGGGCAGAGAAAGGGCTGCTTGCCCTTAACAATTCACATCCCATCATGTGGAAAGCTAGCAGAATAAAATAGAAATTAACTGGATGTGCTTTACAAGTTATGTCCATCACAGCCACATGTGCCTTAGTTGTATCAGCCTAGAACAGAAGGGCTATTATCTTGCGCAGTGCATTTCATGAGGTGGTCACAAAACTCAGAATGTGTGTGTGTTTCGAGCATATAGCTCCAATCATTTGTTGCATGAATTAAAAGGCACCATGAAGATACTGTGGTGATTTGTTGCCATTCCCATTCACTTCTGTTCTCTGGAGCATCAGAACATCAGTTGAAAGTGATGAGAAAACTTGCAGCTCTACCGTTGTTGCAATAAAATCCCCTGATCATTGACTTGTTGGCTTAGTGTGAGGGGACATGAAGTCCAACAACTTTAGGAGGGCCACACGTTTCCCACCTGTGCTTGTAGGGGATGAGTCAGAAAAGTGGTAAATGAACAAAGCCAACATTAATTTTTGAGGAGGTTCTTTACAGGTGAAGGAGAGTGATTGTAACTCAGGGTTGTAGTAATTCCTTCTGTATCTGAAACTTGTTGGGATGGGACAGGGCAGAAATTTAAATAGTATGTGTGTGCTTTTCCCTGGTCCAATTGCTGTGAAATTCTGTGACAGCAATCATGGAACATCTCTGAAGCCACACTGGTGTATATAAAGACTTACAAACTGTTGGAAAACTGCTTGATACTTACCATCATAAGGACTACATATTCCAAAGAGGATTTCACCTTCTAAGTGCTTTAGAACATCAAAGTCCTCCACATAAAACACCATCTCCGGCTTCCCACTTATCTCTATCAGCTGTGTTTTATTGGCATTAAACCCCCCTACAGAATATACAATGATGTTTTCCTCTCGCAAAGTTTCTGCGGGAATTTTCACTTCATCCTCTGCTTCCCCGTCTGTGATAAGAATAAGAATTTTTTTGACATACGGCCGTGCTCCTTTAGTGGGTTTGAAGTAATCCAGCACAAACTGCAATGCTCCCCCAGTGACCATGTTCTGTCCCATAAGAGACATCCTTCCAATTGCATTGATGACATCGCTTTTGGTTGAGTATTCGTTGAGCCGGAATTCCTCTTTGGTTTTGCTGCTGAACTGCAGAGCACCAAAATGCACGCGGCCTGGCCCGACATCTGATTTGTTCACCAACTCGCTCATGAAGTTCTTCATTTTCAAGAAATCCTCAGGGCTTATGTTTTCAGAGCTATCCACCAGAAACAAAATGTCACTCTTCTTTTCCTTGCAGGCTGTTAGAGGGAATTAAATATGAATGATGTATTTTTGCATTTTACCATGAAAAATGACGAAGACAACAAAACCAGCATTCTGAATCTTTATAAAAATGTTCTGATGGAATAAGAAAATGATTGTGTTGTCTAGTGAATCTTATTCATCCTGCTCTGACAAGTCACTCAGCTAACATTTAAAATAGTGTAGTGTGGCTCATCAACACAATTGGATAAGCCAAGCTGGAAAGTCAAAGATCCTGGCTATCATACCTGTGTGGAGACCAACAATCTCCTGGACATTTATACAGATTGTATAGAATGTAATATGTGAATACAATTAAGGCAGGTTTCAAAAGCCATCAATTCAGAGAAGGAAGGGAAGGGAATGATACCCCAAAATTTCTGGAATAATTACTGCTTGGTTCTGTGTTCTCAGTAACTTTTCAGTAACTATTCCAGAAATTTTGGGGTATCATTCCCTTCCCTTCCTTCTCTGAATTGATGGCTTTTGAAACCTGCCTTAATTGTATTCACATATTACATTCTATACAATCTGTATAAATGTCCAGGAGATTGTTGGTCTCCACACAGGTATGATTCATACATAGTCATACATATTCTGCAGTTGGACAAACTTAACATTTATTCAAATAAAGCTTTTAACAGAGTTTTTTCTTGCTGCAGCTTCTATCTCCTCTTTGAAGCAGAGGGTGGTGGTTTCCACCATTTCTTGTTACTTTCTTGTTACAAACCATTCAGGATATCCAATGTCTCCTTTAATAATACTGTACTGCACTAGACATGTAGAGAGGCCAGCTGGAACAAATCCAAAATATAGTGAGCTACTGTTCTTGGAACTTACTGATTTTTCTTTGTTATTTTTCTTCTTCACTACTACTACCTGGGGCATTTATTTTTTATTTAAAGCATTTTACCCTGTTTTTTTCCTGAAGGAAGAGCCAAGGTAGATTACATCGTTAAACAGTAATATTTAGAGCTAAAAACAGGAAGTATAATATTCTAAAAAGGATAAAACGAATACCACACTGAAGGACAGTAAACGAAGCAATACCAAACACACTGTCAAAACAGTAAAGCTACAACCATCCACTAAGAAACCCCACCCAGGCAGCCAGTTATTAAGGGAAAACTTGCCTGAAGAGAAACACTTCCCTGCGGACAGGATGAGCAAAAATGGAGCCAGATTGGCCTCCTGTTCTGCTATGGTTTCTCCACTTACTGTAGGATTAATAAACTGTGCTCAGAAAGTGTAACAAGTCTACTCTGAAACCATACAATATTCTATTATTTATTTATTTACTTACTTACTTACTTACTTACTTACTTACTTACTTACTTACTTACTTACTTACTTACTTACTTACTTACTTACTTACTTACTTACTTACTTACTTACTTACTTACTTACTTACTTACTTACTTACTTACTTACTTACTTACTTACTTACTTACTTACTTACTTACTTACTTACTTACTTACTTACTTACTTACTTACTTACTTACTTACTTACTTACTTACTTACTTACTTACTTACTTACTTACTTACTTACTTACTTACTTACTTACTTACTTACTTACTTACTTACTTACTTACTTACTTACTTACTTACTTACTTACTTACTTACTTACTTACTTACTTACTTACTTACTTACTTACTTACTTACTTACTTACTTACTTACTTACTTACTTACTTACTTACTTACCTTGGTTACATAGCAGTAAACTTTACAGAGTTCAGATTATTCCACTATTATTCTGTTATTCTTCATACCTTCTACAGCACAGATATCTTGAACAACTTCATTCTTTATATGCTTCAGAGAGGCAAAATCATTCACAAAGTAAGCTCTGTCCTTGGACTTCACAATCTCATAAATCTGTGACTCGTTGGCATGTCCAACACCAATGGCATAAATGTCGACCACCTCATTCCTAACCCTTTCGGCAGGCTTTTCCACCTGGTCCTCCGATGTCTTGGCTGTTAATAAAATCAAATAGCAGGGCACACTTCTGGGATGCAGACGCTGGGACTTGCTTATCAAGAGTTGAATGAAAGTCAAAGCTGCCCCCGTGTTGGGGCTCCCACCTGTTTGGCGGATGTTATCAATGGCTTTTAAGATATCACTTGTTTTGCCATATTCCTCAAGTCCGAATTCCAGCTCACTGTTTTCTCCATACTGTACAACTCCAAACCGAACTTTATTTGGTCCAATCACAAAAAATTTAATCACTTCTTTCAGAAACAATTTTAGATCCCCAAAGTCAAAATAGTCCAGGCTTGATGAACCATCAATGAGAAAATAAATATCAGCTTCTTCTGTATCTACACATCCTATAGGGAACAGAATTGTGGACACAATAATATATTACACCGTCAAATAATGCCTCTATTATTATTATTATTTTAAAAAATCCCATACCACAGTGGTGCAACCACTTACACAAGGAGTATATCTTTTAGGCAATTAGTTGCAAGCAACTGAGTAATCTATGGGCCCGTCCACACTGGGGTATAGGTATGATATGTGGATCACAGAGGGCACTGTTTGGATTGGAATAAAGCCCTTGCCCACAAGTGTTTCTACTTAGGACAATCCATCCTTCCTCTTTAAGAGCTGCCAAGGCAGAGTTTGAGAGAGAAATTAGGGGGAGAACAAGAAAAGCAGGGAGTGGACGCAGGAAGAAAACAGAATGGCACAGACAAAGGGAGAGAGGAGCAATGTAAAATATTTTTTTCCTCCATAGATGATCAAGGGAAGTGCTTAACTGACAGCCAATCGGGCTACAAGGGGTTGTCTGCTGTTTGGATTTGAGGAGCATGCCAAATGGCACATCACTCCTCCCCTTAACCTCAACAGACCTTTTGTAGTTCAATCCACCCCACACCCAAAACAGCTAGTCTGGACATACCCTATGAAAACAATAATATCCATTGGTGGACATTAGATAGGCAGTTTCAAAATCCCTACTCTCCTTTCTTATGTCTCCATATCTTTAAACCAGACCGACTCAGCCTATCTTCTGTAAAGAAGGACATATGGCCACCCTCTGACTAAATCAAGTGGGAAATAATCTCCAGAAATGCTACAGAATTCTCTGCTTATTCTCAAATGTTGTCCAAAACGTTTTGCCCTTCAGCTCTCCTTTTCAATAACACTTTCTCTTTTCAACTCTTTCATGAGAGAATATGTGTTGCTTGTTTTTCAGTTTCTATACTAACACCACTTCTGAGGGAATAAAATGAGACTTTTGTAACACCTGTGGAGATTTCCCTTTGATTTTGCAGAACTTTCTACGACTCCTTTCTCCCAAGGAGTGACCCCAAACACCATTAGAAGACAAGATGTTACCTCTTTTGAGAAGTTCTGTCCGTTTGGTGTTCAGATAGAGTGTCTGCTGTATTTGATTCACAATCTTCTTATGAAAACTTTGAGTTTTGCGAGGTAAATGAGAAAATGTTTTTAGGTTAGTAATGTATTGGTATGGTGGGTAAGCCGCTATCTGGGCTAGCTGAGTGGCATTAGCCCCTTCAATGCCAATGGCAAATATAGTCACACCAGCCCTTCTGAGAACTGTTGCTGCGTCACTCACTCTATCTTCTGAAGACCTATGGGTGATCAAAACAGCGATTTGTTCTACCCCTTGAGACTTCCTACTTCCTGCACTTTTGGTGAAAACTTTTTCTCTTGCAAACTGAATGCCAGAACCAGTGTTTGACTTTCCTGCCTGGGGAGAAAGGCTCTGTATGGACTGTAGAACATGAGTCTTGTCCATTGACATTCTCAGTAAAGATACTGCCATAGGCTTAGTGCTATATGTCACAAAGCCAACCCTAATGCATTTCTCTCTCACATCCAAGGAAGACACCAGATCTTCTAAGAAGAGTTGAATCTTCTTAAATTTTGTTTGCGGAGAACTTGCATCCACTATGAACACCACATCAGCAACCGCATCACCATCACAAGCTGCAAAAGGGGCAAAGCATGAAATTAAATTCCAGTGATTGGCTATCTTAAGCAACCTTCATTCTGTGTAGAAGGAGCAGCAATAAATCACCTGTGCACCCATGCTCATTCACCTCAAGGAACTGTTTCTTTATTGCACTTTTATGGAAACGCAAGGAGGAGCATTCCTAGAACACAGTGGTTCCCAACCCTGGGTCCCCAGATGTTCTTGAAGTAAAACTCCCAGAAGCCTTCACCACTAGCTGTGCTGGCCAGGATTTCTGGAAGAGAACATCTGAGGACCCAAGGTTGGGGACCACTGCACAGCAGATTGAGATGGTTTTCCCAAGCAGTCATGAAAAATATAGTGAATTGCAGGAGTAATGGCCTCATATGCATGAATGATTATCTTATTTCATAGGATTTGAGTGTGCGTGAAAAGTTTGTTTCAGTCTTTTGTTGATAAGAATTTAACAGAATTTGCTTTTTTTTCCATATTTGTAATGGAATGGAATTAATTAAATTTTACTATTGCTTGTTATGTGGCATACATTGGCTGAAATCCTGTTGGTGCAGCTCTGCATGCATGTAGCTGCTGACCTCAACCATAGCCTTTTATTTTTAATTAAAAGTTCCCTACCCCACCTCCCAGAGATTCTAAGAGGAGCCTTTAATATCTGAAAATTACGACTGCCATTCTGGTCCTAGCAGTGGCAGTTTTTAGACAATTAAGGGTTCAATCACACCTGGCAAAAGAACTCCAGGTATACCAATTTGGCTGTTTTTTAAAGCTAGTTTCACAAATTTCCAAGCGCACGCTGAGCAACCAAGATCAACTCATTTTCCCAGCCAGCAGTTTATTTCCAGTTTATTTCCCCCTCACTGAGAGAATGGTTTAAAACTGTACCAATGGTGTATCATTTCATTCCTTACCAGGTAGCATGTGTACATGTTCCTATTGATATTTTTCCCATCCTTGGTCCCCAGGCACCGCGGCCACCATGATTGCTGCGTGGCTGCCCTGTGGCTTTTTGTTTAAAAAAATGTGGCTGGTATATTGATATATCAATAAACTGAGGTCTACAGCTGTACAGCATGGATCGACTTCCATATGCCATTTGTCTTGTTTACTGCTTAATGCCTCAGCCTGTCTGCCAAGCACCACAGCCGTACAGGCAGGGGCCAAGACCTTGGTAGGCAATGCATTACTTCCAGAGTCACAGGAACCACAGATGAAACATTCCCGAACAGGAATCACTTTCCGCCTCATCAATGTATCAGTTATGGTTTAAAAAAAATTAAATTAAAAGTAGGGGCAGCACTGTTCCGGGAGATGTAAAAAAAAAATAACTCCATCCCATGGTGTAGCCAGCAATAACATTTCAAATTGGAAGAAATGAATCAATATTGTTAAAATGAATGGGAATGTTCCCACTGGTATATGTACCACATGATCATGAAGATAAATCTAATGGTGCAACTGAGGTATGGAAAGAACTGGTATAATTGAGTTTGAACCCAAATAGTCTCTCCCTTCCCATCCAGAAGATCTCAAAGGTTTCCTCAAGTTCAGAGGGATCCCTGGTTAGCCTCAGAACCTGAGGGATGGAAATAGGAAGTTAAAAATAAAATGAAATATTTCTCTCACAGGCCAATGGTAGAGTTAGTCAACAGGACTGTTTTCTTGTGACTTGATGAAGGCTATAGAGAAGCCATATGCTAAATTTTTTGCATAGATTTTGGAGGAGGGAATGCTGAGACCCCACCCATATTTGAGAAGGATCAATTCAGTACTTTCGTCTCCCTAACCTGTTCCTTATAAATCTGCATTTTAGTGGTAATTCATTTCTTACCTTCTAATGCAGTTCCATTGTTCACTTTGTTAGCAGATGTGACATTGGATAGATCAGAGTTGTTATTACCTATTTCAACAGCATCAGCAATGATCCCAGAAATGTTCTGGGAAAATAAATTGAGTTCTTCATTTCTAGGAAAATAGAAGTAAAATGGTTTTGTGGCCATCAGAATGAGTTCATCATAAGAAGCATCCTCTATTCCCAAAGCAATGACCTTTACTCCAGCTTTCTTTAACATTTGAGCAGCTTCTGCTATGTCGTCCTCAGATGGTTGAGATGTAATCACTACTAAAATTTTGGTTCTGTCTTTCCCAATAGTTGGTTTCCAGTAAAAATCCTCATGAATTGTGCGGAGAGCACTGCCAGTTTTCAAGGGACCGCCTCTGAATGTCATTTTGTTTTTGATATGATTCAGCATTGGATTCTTCCCTTTATAGGTATCCAGATGGAATTCATTGTATATCTGATCATTGTACTGGGCAAGTGCGACCCGAGACTCATTAGGCCCTAGAGGTAAACTGTTGATTGCTTTGTTCATAAATGTTTTTATATGGCGGGAAGATGTGTTGCTGCTAGCTACCAAAAAAACAATATCAGCAGACTTGGAAGCTAAAAAGAGATAAGAAAAGAAAAGAAAAATTTAAGTCTCTTGTTACATTTACCAAAAGCAGTCTTCAAGAACATGAACAATGGTACTCGTTTTTCATAAGACACAAGAAAAGAATACCAGATCTAAGGTGGGGCATGACAGCTTATGTGAACATGGCAGCTAAGATTGGAAGGGATAGGGAAGTGTATAGGAAAAGGCAAATGGCATAATTTCTCTTTCTAATCAGGTACCCCAGTACTTCCATGATCCATGGTATTACTACATGGCCAGCTAGAACCGACATTGTACTTTTGGGAGGAAAAAAAAACTAAAAATAATTACAAGTTGAGCAGCCAAACATTTGAGCATTAAAACAGCACTGGGATTAACAAAAACATAGACAGAAATAGCTTGGGCACGTAGAAAAGGCTTCATGTGGTGCCAAAAGTATCAGACTTGGCATCAGATGAGCTTCTGTGGGGAAAGTGGCTGCTTACCTCACATACCTCTGTCTAGGCCCTTTTTCTCCCTTAGCCAAGGAGCATGAACTCAGGACTCTGCCTCATGAGCCTTCCTCAAGAGTTGACACATAATGCCTATCATTTTCCTCAGTAATTCAAATCAATTTTTTCTTTCTCTTTAAACCAGATCTTTTTCTTTCTCAGATACAGAATTTTTAAAAAGGAAACACATAGCTATACCTGATTTCTCAGTCACAGACGTCTGTGCTTCAATGATTATGAGAAGAAATGTCAGCCACATCTTCATATTTTGAGCAATTTTTCAAGCTTAAACTGTGGAAGAAAAATGTGAAACGTCATTATTTTGATCAATGCAGTTCCTCGGGTGGTTTAGTTCAGAGAGCAAGTCAGAGCAGGAGCAGGGCCAGACTAAGATGTTTGCTGCCTGAGGCAAAGAACGAGTCAGAAGCTCACCCCCAATTCCCTGCTCAGCAACCTGAAAGGCAAATGACTCTTATTTCAACACTAACTGCAGGACAGATTCTATCCACTCCACTGAAGGCAGTGGTGTGTCTCAGAGGTGGCATGAGAGGCCATATTCTGCATTCTACTATGAGAGGAATTGTTGCAGCGGGCTTGGGAAAAACTGAAGGAAGGCTGCTGCTGTTCCCACAGCATTCACTGTCAAGGCTTTCGAGGTGCTCTGTACAACAGGACCTGCCCTTTGTGCCCTCCTTGAATCTGCTGTCTGCAGCACCAACTTCATCTTTTTTTTTTAATAAAAGAGAGCTATCCATATATATTTTGTCCAGGTGAAGTTACAGGGGAAATCCTGTGGCTACTGCCAAAAGTATAAGATGGCCGTTCATGGAATTTGGCACCATTATTCCATTGACAGAACAAATCTTTGGGAAGGAGAAGAAAATCCAAGTTTGAGAGACCACCTTTGTTTATACTCCACCATGCTTGTGCTTCTAAGCACCACATATATCTCCAGCTACTATTTCTTCATTTTCTTCCCTAGAGCGTTAAAATATATATATATCCAGAGTTTGGATGCATTACATTCTGAACCAGGATTTCCAAAATCCAATGTCCATTGTGGGCACATGATATGATAAAACTTTATTAGTCACAGATGAAACATCAAAATGTATACATATACAGAAGTATACAAAAGTATTGGGATCAAATGCAAAACAATAATCGGTTCTGAGGTGAGCAACAACAGCATCAAAACATCTCCCCCTAAAGCAATTCCAAAATGTCTAGCAAACCATGCTCTAACTACAGAGGCTCATCTACTTTTAGGGTCCTTTTTCTAATGCCCATTGTAGCAGTAAGAAATTTGGCAACACTATGTGTAAGCATGGGATGGGAGTCAGACAGCAGCACATGCGTAAATTGTTGCTCTGTACAACCAGGAAACTGGCCAATCAAAGGAGAAACAAGTTCTTCACATACATCCTTGTAATACATACACCACAACAGGATGTGTTCAGTTGTTTCCATCTGCTCCATTCCACATGGGCAAAGGCGCTCTGCCCAGGAGATATTTTTATACCGTCCCTCCTGCACTGCTGAAGGTAGTGTGTTAAGCCGGGCCAGAGTAAACACCCTTCTATGCCTGGGCTGCACCAACTGGGCAAAATAAGGTACTGCTGTAACCTTGTATAAGTTTAAATCATTTTGTCTCTCAATGTTCTCAATACACTGCTTAATGATTTTCTTTGTCTGTTCCATTCCCATGGTTAACAGAGTCAACCTGTCCTAGAGAGATCCAAAGAGGCTATTTTTTGCTCAATTAAGTGAACCCATTTTGACATAAAGGTATCTTGCAAGATCAATGGTGCAAGACCAATAGAGAGATAAGACAGTCTGAGCCAAGAAGTGCAATCCATATCCTGGCTTCAATTTTAATTTGACCAGTTTCCAATCTTAGTTTTACATTGGCGACATCTCTAGAGACTCCTATTATTGCCTTCAGGAATTTTGATTGTACACATTCTAGGGTTGCAATATTTGGGAAGGGGCCCAATTGGGAGTCATGCAGTAGTTGGGCTACTGCTTTTGCGTGGAACAATTTAATGGCTGAGGGAATGTAATGCCCCCCCTTTGTTCTCATAAATTGTAATATTGCAGCGGAACTTCTCTGGGCATTTAATGCCACATAATTATCATGTGCTTTCATTGAAAATGACACCTAAATAAATAAATTGGTGGATCTGATCAATTCTATACTGATTTATCATCCATGTTCACATTATTGGCCTTTTGGCAAAAGATTTTTATTTATCTTGGCATTTAGCAGACAGGTTCCAGCTTCTTGACACACTGAGCTACTATTAGGCACTGTTGCAAATGTAGCAGGCCTGCTTTTAATACTGTTGTTTGTACTCACAGTGCCTGTAGCCCCTTTGGAAGGAAAAAAGCTCCCATTTCTAAGCTGTTTCTTCTTTCTCTCCTTTTCCTCCTTCTCCTCGCTGGGACTAATAGTGTGTGGTCTTTTCTTCAAACTCTTCCTCCCTTTAGTGTGTATGGAGTCATTTTTTGTCTTGTTTATGCTTTGTTTATCTTAGCAAGAGTGGGAGCTGTATCTGGGTGATGTTGCTCCCCCACCATCTTCCCCCTTCCTCATTGTGGGCGCATGGAGATCCATTGAACTGTAAATCAAAAAATGACTTTTCCAACTCCTTGTCAGGGAAATGGAAGAGTTTTGGATAATCTGGCATGCAGCAGCAATTGGGGAACAGTAGTTAATACCTTTCCACAGTCTCATAAAAGAGGCTTAGAAGTTGGATTTTCAGCTCTGAAGGTAAAACTATGCCATAGGAAAAAATATGTGCCCCTGAGTCGCCTTCCAGGGACCTCAGAAAGCCTTGGTGTGAGTTGCTTAATATATAGTATATTTTGTTCCACGTGCTGAAGCAAGTGGAAGGCATGAAACACTTAGGCAGAATTTTATTAGCATGATTCAGAATACCAAGGGGTATGATCTGATATCTGTCATTGATTGTTTTTATTTCTTTTCTAGGAATAATGGAATGCTCAGAACATTTGGCCTGTGAGTAACGAAAGATGTGGTAATGTCTGGAAGTTTAAATAAGCGCTATATTTATTTTCAGTGTTGTTAATGAAATTTGCCATGTTACAGAGCCTTATTTTTCCATTCAATTTTTTTTTCAGAATTTTTTAATCCAGTACAGCAGAAATTGTGCTTTAAAACAGATGGCTTGGCGAGACTTTAATTTGCTTTCCATATGGTATTAAGCTTCTGGGCCAAACTATGTTCTTGGACAGTCAAGAATGGACAAGAGGGTAAAATTACATTAGTAGTTAACTGAGGTAAAATATAAGCAAAGGTGCCAATGATAAATGACTCCCAAGGCCTCCACTTTGGCAGTGTGCTTACAAATCCATGCACACCAGTGTGCTTGAAATTTCCAAAAAGTGCTCTTAATCTTTGTTTAAAATATTGCTATGTAAGTCCACTATTAGTAAGGCAATGTTGTAATGCAGGAAAACCTATGCAACAAGTGTAGATAGATAGATAGATAGATAGATAGATAGATAGATAGATAGATAGATAGATAGATAGATAGATAGATAGATAGATAGATAGATAGATAGATAGATAGATAGATAGATAGATAGATAGATAGATAGATCAATTAGGGCAGTCTATCTGTGTTGCAAAAGTTATGCTACTGCCATCTTGGAATCCAAACTGGTTAAATGCATATTTTGGTTAATAATTCTACATCCCTAATCACTAGAAAATTAATTCAAATGGTGAAACCAGCCTGGTATGGAACAAGATAATCTGCCATTTCATTCATTAATTAAATTTTTAAAAAATCTTGCCTTTCTCTTAAAAGTGGAAACCAAGATGATTCACAAAAAAAATCAGCTTAGAAAGTGAAACTAAAACTACAAAAATAATTGAAAGCACAACTATACAGATAAGAATAAGCAGTGTGGCGCAGTGGATAGAGTAAAAGATTAGGACTTGGGAGACCTGGATTTCCCTGCTCAAACATGGAAACTCACTGAGAGTGGTGGAGCCACCAGTCTAACCACTCCTTACTTACCTCGCTTGGGTTTGAAAGCTCTGTTAGGGTCACTTGATTCTGCTTTGATGGCACACAGCATAACAAACAAATTATAACAGTAAAATACAATTGGATGGAAAGCTATGTTTTACCATGTAAGTTTCTGAAAGTGCAGCATCTTCTGAGACCCCCTCTCTACAGATAATCAATTGCCACAAACCTAGTCAGGCTTTCAAAAAAGTAGTTCACAGCTAATATGACAACAAGGATGGGGCCAGCTTACCTATTTCTAGCAGGGTTTCACAACCTATGATGAGCCACCCAGAAGCAATATTCTGGAGATTATGATTTTATTGGTTGCCAAAGTGGTTTCTGCAAATTTACTGTCTTGTTCATTATTGGAATCCAAAAGATTTTCTAAGTTGCTACATCAACTCTGTTGTGTTCCAGATTATCTGGACATGAACTGTCCTAGGGCAGATGAAAAATAAGACACCTGACCTCTGAAGTAGATGTTAGAATGGAGCTAATTGTGTTATAGAGTCCTATGAGGTACAGGAAGTACAACTCAGAAACCATATAGCAAATCTTAACATCTTAACATAGAGTTGTAGTTTAGAAATACCCATTTGCTGGAAATATGCAAGTAAGGAAGACTTGTTTTGTTTATGTCAGTTGCTGAAGTCAGCTTTTGTTATGATTCTAAAGGCAAGCATTAACTAGTTTCAGATTGTTCTTTGAGTATTTGACGAAACCTTGCAATTCTTGACGTGAAGTGGCATTTATTGGGGGATATACTTGTGGTTACTCTTTCATTACATTACATGTGATGGTAGTCATATAGTGGAATCTTATATAAAACTGCTTAGAGAGGTCTTGATGGGGTTGCACTCCCTCCGAAGGATCGGGTTTGCAGTTTGGGTGTACTCTTGGACACAAGCTCTCTCTATGGAGGCACAAATACTTGCTGGGGCCAAAAGTGCTTTCTATCACCTCTAGCTGATTGCCCAACTGCACCCCATCTAGAGAAGAAATGCCTAATGACAGTGGTTCATGCTTTGGTAATCTCCAAAATAGACTTCTGCAATGCTTTCTGTATAGGGCTGCCCTTGAAGTCAGTACAGCAAGTCCAAAATGTGTGGCCAGACTGATCTCAGGTACCAACAGATATGACCATACATCTCCAGTCTTGGCACATCTCCATTGGCTCCCTGTTAGTTTCCATTCTCAATTGAAAGTTCTGGTTATCCCTATA